ATCCTGAATCGATAATCGAACACTTCCAGACTCTTTTCAATGTCAACCGCATAGTCCAAAGCTGAGCAATTCAGCATAGTATACAACAACCGGTGAAAGTTGAACCGAACGTAATCCCCCAGTGTGGGAAAGAATCATAAGCCATAGAGCAGTTGAAAACTGCAAAGCAGATGAATTGATGTAATCCCATCTGAAGTCTGGAAGCAGGAAGGATAAGCATTTCATGCCAGATTTCATGAACTCATCGAAAATTGTTAGGAACAAGGTAAACTGCCATCAGATCTTCGTAATGCAGTCATCATCACTCTATCCAAGAAGGAAGGAGAAAAGCGGAACTACTCAACTCTGCTCCTCACTGCTAGAAAAATCCATGTAAGAATACTTTTGAGCATATTAGTTCTAACTATAGCAAAAGAGCTTCGTGATTTCAAAGCCAACAGAAGTAAAAAACAGACATGGTATTTGTTCTCAGATAACTGTAAAAGAAGAGTAGGGAACAGATAAAGGCTCTACGTGACATTCGTTGACCTCACCAAAGCTTTCGACGGATAATTTTGCTCAAACTAATTTCGCAGTTCTTAAAATTTTTCAGTGGACCTTAATCAATTCAACAAGTTTTACAGATATGCTTTCATTTAGGAAAAAGCATACGTCTAGACTTGAATTAAATTTGAAGTCGAAGAAATAAAGAATAAGCTAATAAGCTTGGAAAGAAAGGGAATGATCCTTTATCCTCGCTTTCATCAATTCACCCCGCTAAATTACCTCATTACGTTGATTCACATAACCTTTCAAAATATCACATACTCGAAATTTCGTCCCGTTGTTGCAGGGTATAAGATGGAAAGTTTCAACGTTTTCTCAGGTCCAATTATGAATAGCTGTAAAAAAACATATTGGCATTAACACAGGAAACATACTAGAAACTTTGTGCAATTTTTCAGATTTTAAAAACATACTGTTTCAGTGAAGTCGAAAATTTCACACACTTCATCATATGATATAAAACTTTTAATCAAAGCATAATATCAAATCATTTTCTTTAATGTAAAAACTGATGAAAATAGGACTTGAGAGAACTGGTAAACTAACACAGCGTGCGGTTAGCGCAGCACCCTTTTCATCACGTTCGTCCGGATCCATCATTCCCAGTTTGGTGGCTAGAGAACGATTCTCATCTGCTATTATCGGAAACGGTAATTTGTTTCCTATAAGATACAAATTCTATGTTAAGTGAAGATAGCAGAGCATTCTGAAATTAATTCGATGGCAATTGTGGAAATCATTAGTAGCTTAATAATGATACTAATGATGTTAACACTATATTAAAAAGTAAAATACCTGAGCTACAAGCACCACAATCACCAAACTTCATTTTGCATAATGCGATGATATCATCAGCCCACTCACGGTGCGATTGTGCCGAGTCACAACTCAAGCCAATCAGCTTCACATTCCGTTTTTTGAATTCAGGCGCTAGTTGGACTAGCCTAGCAAGTTCCGTAGTGCAAACTGGAGTGAAATCTCGTGGATGAGAAAACAGTATTGCCCAGCTGCTGCAATTTTAAACCTTCGATAATGAACAATTCAGATCAACATCACTTAGAACTAGAAATCCAATGACACAGCGGATACTACTGGTGAATGATGACGTGAACATCGAAAAACAATAACCGAACTGGCACTAACAAAGTTACTCTACCCAGTTTATTACGAAATCTGACTCTAACTTATGTCGGCAAGAAATCCCGCAGAAGTCCTGCAAGACATCTGCAGACAAGAAGCCCAGCTACAACGAATGTAAAATACATTGTGTGACTTTTTGTGTGACTCTCGTTTTAAACCCTATTATCGAACCATATGCTCTAACCACATACTTTTCGCCAATCCAATCATGGAAACTCGAAATGAAGCTTTCACTGGTCTCCGCTTGAAAATCTGGAAATTTTTCACCCAGTAGGATTCCTTTCGACATTATTAACTGAAATGCGTATTTTGGGAACTATATAAATATGGTTCGCACAACAGTACCACACGAACTGCTCTAATTATGGTTTTCTACTATGACGTAATCTGCAAATGATACATTTTAATCATAAAGATTGTCGTGATCAACGGGAAAAACACCATAACAGATGCAGAGTATTTTTAGCATCCTAAATTACACGTTTTCCATATCGTCGCCTAGATCTGAACTGCCTTCAACAAGTTAAATTTAGAATAATCTGTTTCAATCGATGTTTCAAAATTGATTTAAAAAAAATTCACTGTAAAAACATCAAAAACACTATTATCCGAAAATAAAATAATGTTAAATGAAGTTGTTAATTCAAAAATCTACGGGAAAGGAAATAACGAATAAGTTTAACATATAAATAAAACAGGAGCGTAGGTCATTATTTCCTTTCTGAAGTAATTAGATCTAATACAACAACTAATTAAGATATCAAAGGGAATTCAAGTAATAAAAATAACCCAGAAGAATGAAGAGAAAATGTATTAATTTTAAAACATTACAACAAAACCAGACTGCCAGACTGCGATGAACCATCTTCGTTAAGAACCGAATTAAACCAAGCGTACAGCCACTCTGTACGCTTTAATTTTACAATATATTTAACAGATGGATGGGTGGAGTTTGCAAGACAACGAAACTTCCAAATTCCGAAACTTGAAAGTTTTAAATGTCATGACTTTTGATGAACGTTAAAACACACAACATCCTACCCCATTTATTTGAGAATATTTTTTACACATCCACATTTGTTCGACCAAAAATTTTATGTCTTTTTTCTGTCATTTAAGACGCTCATTTAGTTAGCTAATGAATATGTAAATGTTTGGCTATTACCTGAAGTAATTCAGAGTTGCAAATAAATAAGTTCTTGGAGCTGTTTATCCAAAAATTCATAAAAAGAAAATAATGGACAAATTCAACACGAGTAAAATAGGAGTGCTTCCCAAACTATTATTTTCCTTTCGAAGTATTAGATCTAATATAACAAATAATCAAGATATCAGAAGGAGTCAAGTAATAAAAATAACTAATTTATCTAAATAAAATTAAAAATGAAATATAGTGGCCTTGTTTTCCTTTATATCGAACATGTTTCATCAGAAAAAATTACACTGTTTGGCTGATTTGGATACTGCAAAAATCTTGGAAGAAAGCTATCCATTGTAGTTATAGGAACAAGTGATTTGTAATGGGAATTGGAGGTGATACGTAACATTCTCGATGATAGGTTTTACAACATACACAACGAAAAAAGCGAAAACATTACAAAGAATAGAAACGGATAAAAAATTTCAATACCTTTTCATGAAAAAAAAAAGTAACCGAGGACTACTTTCAAACAAACCAATCAAAAAAGTCACTACATTTGATTTCTGAGTATAACATAAAATATTTTATATAATTTCTGGTGTAGCAAGTACATCACAGACTATTATGGCAATGAAAACCAAACATTTCATTTTAAAATTTCAACATGAAACTATCTGTTCTACTTTTTAAATTAATGAAATTCGATTAAATTCCGAAAATTCTCATTTTTCTTGAAAATTCCTCAATATAAGATAAAAGTAAGTAATGGACAGACAATTTTCCACACCTGAAAATATCAATCTAAATCCATATCATCTGTGATGCCATCACTCTGTGCTGCATCCGTCTGAGATACCCCACTTGCTAGTCTGCTTTTGGATGTACCAACCAAGCACTCATTTTCATTGCTAAGCGGTATGCAAAGCATTTCTTCTGAATCGATTTCAAATTCTTCAACTGATTCATTTTCCGGTGATCTTAGCAAGCCTGAAATAAGATGTATGAGATATTTATCCATATAATTTAAGGCCACATTCCCCACAAAACAAGCAAAAAGATATGGCCTAATGAATTCATGAATAGTGTATCTCTAAATAAACTTTAGAGCTGTTAAAACTGATAAAAAATTTTCTCAGGGATACAAGAACTATCCTTTCAGATATTTAATCATTTTTAAATCCATCATTTGTCTTTTTACAAACAAGAGACTATTCTCTCAGACTTCTCTTCGGAACTCTCTAAATCCATAAAACAAATTTCTAAGCAGTCCTATCACAAAACATATATACCTTTAATCATATTCCCTAGAAAGCCACCTCGAGTTGTTTGTGGTTGTGGTAAACCCATATATATTTGACCTATCCTGTCCAAAAGTTGTTTATACTCTGGATCACGGCTGATTTCGGTTTCATACTGTTCCACTAACACTGTGAAGTAGGTTATCTGAAAACCAAAATCAGAATAAAAGCTTATACGATGTCATATATGCTAATCAAGCTCATAAAAAACTGGAACTAGTTACATTAAAATAACCGTTGTTCTTCTACGATTTTCTACATTTATCTAAAAAGGTAAATATATTACAAAATAAGCATATCCTAATTTTTCATAGAATTTCAGCGTCATAAAGTGTAAGATCATATTTCACCTATTTATTTAAATCTGACTCCTATCTCTTCCCTTATTTTTAATGCAGTTGCTTATTTCAGCAAGAATGCTTCGAGAGGATACCTCTTTATTAGCAATACATATTATAGCAAAGTGTAAAAAGTTGAGCAATGGAAAGGAATAGGGAAATCCGCTTCTAATATCTGGATGCATATCACAATAAGATTGCAGTAATTTTAAGGCACTCTTCGGTTTTCGATCGCAGAGCATCTACAACATAGTACCAATAAGTTGAAACACATTTCTAGTTCACAGTTTATTTTTAGAAGGAAAGAATAAAGCTTTTAAGAGGACTCTAGAATAAAAAAGAAAAGGTAAGTTGGATTTCTCAAACAGTCTTTTAATTTTTATTATGTTAATGGTATCATTCAATATCATAACTGATCTGAAAGATAACTGAACTAACTTGCATAACAGCTTGTGCTATGAACAAGTCTTTTTCCGTAGTGTACCCGTATTTCAGTTGATATTCCGTAAGAAATATTGCAAATGCCTGAAATTAAAACCTTCACTTGAAACAAATAGTGAAGAATAGAAAACAGAGAAAAAAAGGAAGTCATAAACCGAGAGATATGACAGTTACGAAAAACAGTTGCATGATGGAGTGTAATTAAACTGGCCAAAAAAATGATTACCAAATTGCACTAATCGATGACGTCAAGATATTTCAAAAATAAAGAATTTTATGCGATTCATTAACAAACAGAAACAGAAAGGCAGTAAGTTAACTGAATCGCTGTTAATTCATAGAAATGAAGGACACTGAAAAACTCACTTCTGGATTATCAGAATACATAAAATGATTTCTTGCGTTGATGTAATTTCCTTCACGCCACAAGGACTTAGCAATGCGACTAAAACAGTATAAACTGAAAATCTAAATCCAATTAAATTTCAAAGTCTTCAGAAGTTTTCAAGATGATCAATTTATAAGCTGATTCATTACTGCATGAGTTGACATTTAAGCTTGACTAACAAATGCAATCCGGGATGGCCCCGCCGTCGATACCGTTTCTTGTCACCTACAGCCATCGTCCACTTGATACCTAGAGATATGTACTGCAATCTTCGATCTTCTCGTTCCGAATTGGCTTCCAAATCTTTTTCCAATTGAGCTGGTAAAAGATTAAGCAACTGAAACGGTACTTGTGATAATCAATTAATAGTAGAGTTTCCACGACCCATTAGGAAAATAATATTCCCTCCAGTTTTTAGCATTTATACTGCGATTCCTAATTAATCTCTTAAATATCAATCTTCTCTAACGAGAAGGATTCACTTTCTTAACGCACTGTATCTTCAGGTCCAAAATTAAGCCTCAGAAGTAAGAACTCTACAGCACAGTGAGACAGGTGAAATGCATGCATTTAAAAGAAAAAAAAACAGCTCAATATAAATTAAATTTTCCTTGTTTCTAAACGCAAGGGCATCATGGAACAGAAATCCCTGATTTCTATTGGATCACTATAACATGTCAAAGCAAGATCGAGCTTTTTTTAGAGTAGCATGTAATTATGCGAAGGACAGATTAGAATGATATTACACAACAGGAACAAACAATCAAAATAAGCATATAAACCAACTTCATCGAAACGATCCAAAACAACTGAAGAGACAGGTGTTTTCGATTTCTCCAAGGCCTCCATAAATAGTTCGGCAAGATCGATTGCACTTGCTGCTTCTCTTTCTGTAATATTACATGAATTAAAAGGGACATCACATTAAGTAAAAAAGAAGGGGAATTTGTATTAGGAACACGGAAGTATGCAAGAAAAACATATTAAGCATTAGTAAAATTACTTGTCGAAAAAGAGTTCCACATATCAACGTTGTAAAATTGTTAGTAGTTTGGTAGAATCTCGAAAAAGTCTCATGCTGAGAAACTAACCTGCTAGAAGTCGCAATACTCCACTATATAGCATATCCTGTAACTCTTGCCATCTCCCTTGATTAGATAATCGATTGTACAATGTGCGGTAAATTTGATGTGCTTCATAACAGTTACCATTTTCGAAGCATAACCGTAACTTCTCCTCAATCCGAGACATCTTAAATGATCTACCATAGACTGCAATTCCGAGAAACTAGAACTTTAACATACCTCGGTGTCCCATGGAATATATCTAAATTTCGCCTGAACTTAACGTAGAAACTTCGAGCAGTGTCATATCTGCAGTCAAAATGATGACAGTGAATCAAAAAACCTATTCATTTACAAGCACTCAATTTGCAAAATATGAGGACTGCCCAAATTTCACCAAGTTATAAAGAACAACCAGGCACAATTACATCCCATTCCTGTTCCATTTTGTATTCAAGTATCCCTTTTTCTTTTCTGCATATTTGAATCGAAGGGTATTTCGGTTTGATCTACCCAATCTCGAACCCTTACCACATTGACAGCAATGAAACCAATATGCACAATGGGCAAGCAAAATTACAAATGGCAACTTGAATTCCATGTAAAACTTCACAGTTGAAATATTTACGACCACTTTATTTCCGAATAAATCCCAGAACATATACCATCTTCATATCACTCAATAATAACAGTACATTCTGCGTAAGAAATACCAAAAATTACGGCACAAACATGCCCGGGAAAAAAACGCATTTGTAAAATCATTTTAAATTAACCTGTGTGACCACAATTGCATATAAAATTGGCTGAATTCCCTCAACTCTATGCATTGCCTCCCACCATTCGTTAAATATCCTCCCTTATACAACTTCTAATCAAAGAAAATAAATACTACGATGAATAAAAACACTGACAATTTCGGAAAAGCTGCTGAAGAATTTTAATGACGTCGAAAAAAAGGTGTAATTGTAATAATATTCAGTTGAAATGGTATAACAACTGTGAGTAAACGACTATAGAAAGTACCACTGCATTTAACAATACAACAAAATGAAACAAAACAACGCGGATCATTCGGGTTAGATACAATTCAGTATGAGCGGCCACCCCAACCGGCGTGACCTGAATTTCCAGAAGATCCACCCCATTGTTGTCCATTACCACCACTTCCTTGCCAACCACCTTGTCCACCACCACTGCTGCCACTCCAACCTGCAATAAAATTATAAAGGAAATTATTAAAAAGTTATTAATGAAACAAAGGAAGATAGTTCAGAACCTCTGATCATAAAAAAGTTGACCTTCTGTATTTTTGAAATCTTTTAATTAACTCCGAAAAGAGAACCGCAAAAACAACCTGAGGATGCAGACTGCGAACCGTTCCAAGCACCTTGAGCAGCAGCACCCCAGCCACCTGGGGCATCACCACTTGGACCCCATCCTAAAATTTTCGTAATTTATAAAATTACCGAGTGAAGCTCTCTACAGAAATGTGAACACTTCCTCTCCAGAAAAAAAACAAACCTCCAGCTGAAGCACCATACCCCCCATAGCCTCCACCATAACCACCACCACCTGCAACATTATCACAGCTAAATAAAAAGCTAAACAAAACTATCACAGCTAATTTAGTAGAAAGATGAAACAGAAGTACCTGCAACATGAGAGTGAGAACTAAACAGGAAAGCGAAGGAGAAAAGTTACCATCATCAGGATATACCATTTCCAATTTCGAATCCAGAACCAAATCGGAATCTTCCTTCTTTACTGTTTCAGTTAGAAGATCGTATCTCTCATTCACATTAAATGGTTATAATCAATAGAAAAGGATGGACAATGCCTACTGCAAAAAGAATATAGCAAAAGCAGTAACCGTTCCTTCATGCAGCTTGTGTTTGTATTCATCGAAAAGCACGAACATATCGGACA